TCCAGGTAAAATTGAGATATCTTCATGAAGTTTAGTTATCTTGACTTTGAGGACGTAACCCATTGAACCAGAATTAGTCAAGTACCAGAGGAGGTCTAGAGACAAAGCGGAACCGAAGGAAGACGTCGAAATATGTACAAACTGAAACAGCAGTGACAATTTTTCATGTTTTTAAACTAGGGATAATAAAGTCAAACTTAGTGTATATCTCTAATAATAAAAAATATGACCTATATTTTTAATTTAAGGTTTTTTTGGGTTATTTTCATAATTTTTCCTTTTCGTAATCCAAAAATATTTGAATAATAGTTAAACGAGAACGTGAATATGAAGAAGGTTGAATGGATGAAATTTGCGGGTGTTTGTTTGTTTTGGGTCTATAGGGATCTTTTGCTAGGTATATATATATGTGTAAATTGTTGTTTAGGTGGTATGCTCGAGAATTGAGTGTCAAAGAAATTCAAATCAAACATTTTGGAATAATATATACATGAGATATCACATGCCATCTCCAACTCTATTCTAAAATCCTCTCCATCCCCACTTCATTTTTTTCTCTAAATATGAAATAATCTCATTTTCTACTCCATTTTAGAGTTGAACTTTTTTATTTATAAAATGGTCTTTCAAATTTTAAATAAATTAATTTTAAGAGATAAATAATTATTTTGGTGATAATTTCTATTTGTGTGATATTATTTTTAATAAAATTTTTACGAATTTGTCAAAATCACAAGAATTTGCAGCAAAATAATTATATTATATTATAATATGTGAAATTGTGATTATGCATAAGTTTTTTTTTGTTAAAAATGTTTATGTATGTCTAAGTTATTTTATATTATTACGAATTTAACTTTTTAAAAATATATATTTTAAAGTTATTATATATATATGTGTGAATTAATAATAATAAAACATAATATTACGATTTTAATTTATAAAATAAAAAATATTGGGGTCATTTTATAAATTTTATAAATAAAATGTATTATTAGTAATTAATAATAAATAGAAAAACGAAATCTACTATCTATATAAAAGTAGAGATAAAAGTAGAAAAGCACTCTCCATTTGATGCCACGTCACCAATTCAAACTTCTATAAACATGCCACCTGTACTTGGCAAACATCAAATAAATACCCGAAAGATCTCGACCTTCTCGTCTGCCGTTTCACTTCATCTTCTCCTCGTACGTTTATGAAGGCTTCACATCCAAATCCAATCTACAAAACTTCTTCTTACCGCTTTGCCTTTACATTCGTTGTAAAAAGTAACTTATGTCTTCTCCAATCTTAAGAAACCTGTGATTTCCCCAATTATATAGTGCTCTTCTACTTTTATACAGTAGATTTTGGTGTGTGATGCTTAATCCCATGTTCTTTCTGGAATTTTTGGATTATAATTCCGTCGATCCTCTAATTCGAAACTTCCTTTTCCCTCCATACTTTGTGGCTTTTACAGTGGTGAACTTCGATCATAACAAAAATGTGTACGCCTATACATTTGTTCTTTGATTTGGTTTGTAGTACTGCTAATATCATAAACCAAAAATGACATTATTGCATTGGCTCTTAGAAATAGTCATCTAGAACCGGTTATGGCTGGATGGACCTTGCAGAGTTGCACTCATATCTAAGTTGATTTCAAGCAAATATTCATACGGAAAGAGCAAAAAACTATTTTGTTCTAGGTAAAGTCTACTTTCTATCCGGTCTTATGTTTTATGTCTGGTTAGTCAAAGCATAAACAAAAAATCTGATCATAAAAATGTGAATCTAAATTTATGAAGAAAATTAAACCAAAACAGAGCAACAGAAGTGACGCAAATTAAGCCAATGTTATAATCACTCGAACAAATAAGAGACAACTAAAACTCCTTCCAAGAAACTAATAAAAAGAAGTTAAGAGTAGGAATAAACCATAGTTGGCAAGAGCTCCTTTCAAAGTCAGAATCTGACAAAACACATTAATATTTCAACGTTGATGTAAAAAATTGATAATGTTGCTTTTATCTCTTTTCTCTGTATTAGTTTCTAACTTTCAAGTAGATTCGATGCCGATGGCGTATAGGTATGTTCTCATGTAGTTTTTGGGAGCAAATGAGAAAGCAAACAACGACATCTCTTTTCTTTTAGCAGTGTCCAATCAAAATGTTCTATTATTACAAGATCAAAGATAAAAAAAATTAGTTGAATGGCATTGGACAACGAAGCTTCCGTATGTTCTCTGGATTACATTAATCGGGAAAAGAATCACGCTGCAGATCTTTTGGCTAAAAAAACTCACAAATTTGATTTATTGTATGATAGTTTTGGTATTCGGCTTTTATAGTTGATTAACGCTTTGTATTACCGTTTACTATTAATAGTAAACTTCAGATGTTAAACAAAAAACAATTAGTTCAGATATGCAATTGATGATTGTCAAATGACCAAATAAAACGCAGAATCAAGTATGTTTATAACTAGAAAATGAGAAATTAAAAATCTCCAACTTCATTATTTGAGACTGAAAATATAGCTAAAGACTTAATAACGTTTCATTTCTCTAACCAAAATCCGCGCGTATGCGCTGGTTCTCATCTAG